TGACAAAAGCCCAGGTGTGGCTACTTGTCACGTGGCAAATCTGAGACATTTGAAAGAAAGCCACGGAATTAAACAGTTACCATGGGCATATGCCGATGGTTCCCACAATGTTTGGCGGCATATACAAGCAAGGGAGCATTGCGTAAACACGAGTTATGTAAGTAGATTATCAAATGGATTTTAAAGCAGGCCCTATCTATTATCTTGACAGCACCGGATACATCGAAGGGTGATTTAGGCATAACCTAGGGACTCTGGCCAGCTTGGAAGAGTAGGCCAATACAAACCCTCGATGAGCTTTCTACGGCTGCCTCTGGCGAGGGTCCTTCCACCAGCTGCGTCTTAATGGAGAAATCGCAGGGGTCCACCTTTGTCATGTTTTTTAATTGCTCCAAAAACTGTACGGTCAAAAAACGTCATCAATCAATCAATGTGTCGCCCTGCTTAAGAGAGCCAGTGCTCATGGCGATGGTTGATGTGGAGCCAGCTGTTGGAACTCCACCTCCCCATGCCTCTTCAAAGGATCTGATAATGTTCTACAAATTGGGTCTCATTTAAATCAATCAATCAATTCTGCCAGCTTTTCCAAACTGAATCGGGTCGTGGGGGGCAGCGACTCCTGCCAAGGGTTTCCATCCTACTCTGTCCTCCGCCAGTGGCATCAACTGTGGCTCCCGGATCGCCGGTCTCTCCACAGACAGGCGCACCACCACCACCTGGTCTTTCTAACGCGATCATGGGCTGCCTCTGGGTATTTTGCCCGGAGGAGGTCTCATTTACAGCGTTCAAAATGAACGTTACCATCCCTGGAGTGATTGAACTGAGTTAATCCTTGATTAGGACGAGCTCATGTGACTTCCGTGCCACATCCAAGTCCAATACTACTCTACTTTATCTAATGCTGTGTTACAATAGAGAAGTTACAGATCGTTGTATGACTTTTTGCATGCACTCCACACGAAACCTACGCACCGCACCTCCAATTGGCACGATTGGCTACGTACAGTGTGCCAGAAGTTCAACATCCCTACATACACAGTGCATTGACGTGGCCTGGAAAATAAAATTACTGCGTGATATTTTGTTACAGCCTTTTTTCAAAATCCATTGCTCGATGAAGGTCGTCTGACACCTCGCCACGTTGGTCACGAGGGGTCGGGGAAGGGCAGGCCGGGAATCAATTTAGCGATCACTCGCCACTGGTATTCGCCGTGCCTGGGAATTGAACTCAGATGAATTAATTGGGTTCATCGCGCGCAGTACTCTATCCACTGCTTCACCGATACCCCGATGCATGCTGTAACGAACCGTATACATGTTGAGACTGTGCGAATAGGATTTGTTCAATGATGAGTCCACTCATGTTACGGAGAAACTTGTCAACTCGCTCTCAGGGCCGAACCCTCAGGCCGTTTTTTGTGCGTTCCATCGTTGTTGTCTTACCGTCTGGAATGTGGCGCCACATTCCCATGCTTTTAAAATGTCTTCAAGGCAATGACCAGTCGCTGGGTAAACAGCGACGGGGAATGGCATGTGTCGATAAGATCTTTGTTGTCAGGTAACTTCACATTTTTTTTATCGACAATGTCGAACTCTGAATCTTGCTATACAACCAATACTTTCTTCATCAAACAAGCAATGCTTCGTTTTTATTCCATCGGCTCTTCAAAACTCAATTTGGCCTTCTCTCTCAAACGAGAATGGGGCGTTTGCTCCTCTTTGTTGGTTGCCACTCTTTACACAAAATGACTCCCATTGACTTCCAACACACTTGTGCTAATAATATAAAAGCCTTTTGCAAAACTATTGCTGTATGAAGACATATCCATGCCATGTGAGTCATGGGGATCGTTTGACCATACTTCATCATGCCGGTCAGTAAAAGTTGGAAATGGGGTGGAGGGGCAGAGATCATTTGAGGTATCACTCACCACGGATGTTACCCATGGCCAGAGATGGAACTCACGTGGCCAGATTCAGAGTTCAGTGCAGGAGGCATTGCGGCACCGCTCCACTCCAGGATAACGTCAAACACGAACCACGGATGTTACCCCTGCGGGAGGCATTGCGGCACCGCTCCACTCCAGGATAACGTCAAACACGAACCACGGATGTTACCCCTGCGGGAGGCATTGCGGCACCGCTCCACTCCAGGATAACGTCAAACACGAACCACGGATGTTACCCCTGCGGGAGGCATTGCGGCACCGCTCCACTCCAGGATAACGTCAAACACGAACCACGACGCAATGAGCAATGTCACGAGTCGGTGATACGTTTGAGCTTTTTAGCTTCTTACGAGTATGAAATGTAACCTTTCAAGTTATTACATGAGACTAGTAGAGGCCAGTCTTACGGCATAATTACACTGCTATAAATTCCTATCTTTGCTATATTATACACCTACCATTAATCTTATTTTTGACATGATATGGCTGTCAAAATGTTTGCCAGAGGTGCCAAATCAGTAGCAACATGATCCCGTTCCAAGAGAGAACAGCTATAAAGGACATAGAAGCTGAAATTATGACTAGCAATGGTGACTTTGTTCAACTCTTGAGCACACCCGAGGTGGTGATGATGATGACGATGTCAAAGGAAGGACGTGAGAGGCGTTTTAAAACCGCTGTCCAGATGTAATGGGGGATATGCCGTGTTAACATGCAAGGCTACTTGAGATGTTGGCTACATGAATTCTAAATGGTTGCTTGGAAATTGTTCTTGTGAAACCATTGCCACTCGCATCTCATTTAGAGTCCCGAATCCTTTCCCGTGACTCCTTTAAAAACACGAAATAATGCGTTGTATTTCTCACACAGACTAGCTTTCAGATGTAATTGTACAAGTATGTTTTATAGTTCAAATACATGCACAGCAATGTATACATGAAATGCCAATGCAGTAAATGCAATAATAATAAAACATTTTGAATGATGATTTTTTTCATAACTTCTGGCTAACTTGAGGTTTACTTTTTTTTTCTTGGACTGGAATATTTTTGTATGGAGGTCCCAGTAAAATCACAAGCCTCTCACGCGCTGCTAGCGACTCGCTTACACTCACAGAGAGGTGCGGTATTAAAGCGAACCTCTTCGTTCGGGTCACGAGGATGAAATATCCAGACCTTTGCGTAATTCCTATAGCAGTACTCAAAAAGAAAAAAATGTAACCTCACCCAGGCTGCTGTAAAGTTCATTGTACTCTAGAGTAGAAATGCCTCTCCCTGCCACCTGTGACTTGAATAACCGGAACATAGCAGATGATCATTAATACGTAAGTCTCCTCTACACCTGCAAGCACAGCTTTGAGGGCAACAATTTGCGCTTCTTGTTTTTTTGCAGTACCCCTCGATATCTGACCTACAGTTACCCTGACTTTTGGGTTGGGCTTGGTATTTACGTAGCGATTCATTATTTGTTTCCCCCACGAGCCACCGAGGAGTGTTTCTCAACTCACGTTGCATCAGCATCGTGCCGAGCTGTTCGGCTCGAATTGACGTTGACAATGGGGGGGCAGCGTGGAGACGTGGTTGCAGCTTAAAGTATACAGTGCACACTGTAGATGAGGCTAGTTCATTTTATAGTAAGTGACAGGAACAAACTTATCCTGGGTCAATCAGGTCAAATGAAATGCATTACATAATTGGTCTCCTCCGTGTGTGATGACGCTGCGCACTCCCCTTTTCCCCCAATGCCACAAAGGTGTGCCACATATCGTGATATCTTTTTCATGTTTTTTTTGAACGACAGCTGCATTATGAAAATCATGAACTATATAAATAAAAAAACAAGTATTGTAAATAGCTTCATAACTGGAATGTAAATATCAATCCATCACGCTGCAAGCATTCTCAAAATGAATAAATTAGACGTGTTTGTTCAATACTTTGGTTACCCACGTAAATTAAAAATAAAGTTGTGCTAAATTCCGTGCCATTTTTTGTGTCTCAGAACGTAACATTAACATTCCACCGCTGATTGTAACCTTTAAAGTGGCCGGCGTGAATGCTACATGCACTCATAGATGCTACCCAAACATACGAATAGTTCTTATTTAGGAGCCGTGCAATTTCACCCCGGACCCATCACTGACGCACCCCCACACGCACTCGCTCCCGGAGGTCACCAGGTGTCCGTTCTCTTGGTAGGGCCCGAACCTCGCACAACTCTTCATTAGCGCCGCTCGTTCTCCAGGAAGAGACAATCGAGGGCTTGCAGCCAACACAAGGTCGGGGTCCCCTCCATGCCAGAGTGTCAATGGGGTCCCCCCATGCATAATACTACTTTAACCCCCCCCTCACCCCCCCCCCCCCCGGTCATCGCACCTGATTGGCTCATAAGTGATGACATCACATTCATCCCCACCTCTACTTCAGATCGAAACAGGAGAATTTAGCCACAATTTTGACTGTCGCCTGATGATGCTGGTTGCAATTACCGGTGAAACGTCACAGGAATCGATTTGTAAATGTTGTGGAGTTACTCTCCAACACACCGGTGTGCTGAACTAGTAACTAATTGGCATGTTTTATTTATGTGACTAACCTTAGTAATCGACTGCATCGGATGGTGTTGGGTTTAACAACATATTTATATTTTCACCAAAGTATTTGAAAGAAATGCATTCTTGCACTCACAAGAATGCTGGGGCAGATGCATATCGACAATTGTTATGATTTCTGCAGTTCAGGATGCCCACAATGCAACTTTGACAACCAGAAAGTTAATACTGTACACAACTGTTAATGCTATACCGACAATTACATTCATACAAATGTAAGCATTAACCTTTGCACTAACCGTAACCTCAAATTCACTCTAGCTCTAAATTTAATTCCACCCCAGACAGTAATCTTCTTAAAATTCGGAACAAAATCCAGGTCCTCTAACAGATCTGTTTACAAGGATGTTATTCTACAGACACTCATGCAACACCTACTGTGAATTCACCTAAGTGTGAAACAGCTTTTGTTGACTCGTCGTCGAATTTATTATGCACAGGTTGGTGAATGTGAGCAAGGAGTTGACTTCAAGCTACGCTGAACTCCAGCCACCTATGGAGCTCATAGAACTCATCCTGCAAGCAGCCATCAGCATCCTTGAGCAGCCAGCAAACCCGGATAATACAGGTACTGGACTCAGATGTGGACTGACAAGATCTCCCGTACAGTCTGAATAGACTCTTCGGGAGGTTGCTTTTAGAGAGCACCTATTAAGGTCAGCACAGCACACGAGGGGGTAGGCGGCCAGCGCCACGTCCAATGCTGATGTTTACACACTGTACCAGGTACTCAATTATGAGGGAGTCGCCTTGAGAGAGGCCCAGGACCAGTTCAGATATTCATCACTGGTTGTGGCCGCAAGCAGAAATTTTACTCTGGCCACAATGGTGGCTGGATATGACGACATAAATTTGCACTGTGTCTGGCTCTTAATTCTTAATGTTTCTCATTCCTGGTATATAATTGCCAGTCACGAAAGCTCCAAATAAAATCTATATTATGCTTGATGAAACTCATAATCACACGTTGATAATATATTTAGGCTTTGGGTGTTTTCATGGTTATGAGCCCTGCTTTGTCATGAGTTTGATTTTTTAAACACCTTTGAATGAAATCCATAGTACCGTTTTTTTGGGTTAGATCACTTACATATAAATGTGTCGTTAAACCTTCCACCACCCAACACAGCCAATTAGTAAGGGTTGTCACGTAAACATAACATGCCAATTGTTTGTGAGTACAGTACACCGGTGTGTTGGAGAGCAAAGGCACAACATTTACAATCGGAGTACGACGTTTCGCAGTAATTACAACCGGCATCATCAGGCGGCAGCCAGATGATATAATTGCATTTTTAATTTGGAGACAACATTTTGAATTGTTTCTCCCGAATGAAAACATCGAATTGCTCTTTTTATCTGCAGAATAAAGTTGGTATTAAGAAAATGTAATTTTATTAAACTCATATTTTTAAAGATGTATTGCGATTAAGTGAAGCCAAGTAATAACAATCAAATATTAGACAGAGCACTGTCCTCATGATTGCTGTGTTGATTGCAGCTTGGAGGGACTGGCTGGACCAAGGAATACAGAAAGGTTTTAACAAAAGCACAAATGGAGATTCTTTTAACATCAGCCTTTCACTCTTTGAGGTAAGTTGCCATTCACTAACAGATATACACACACACACACGCGTGTGTAAACAAAAGAGACGCCAAAGCTGCATCATGCGGATATAGAACACGGCAAATTGAAATACATCATCAGGATCAGCAGTTGTCAATCCATTGCGGGATGAAGGGTGCATCAACTCACAGCCATCTCTCACAACTTGGCTAAATTGTGTGCAAACAAAACGAAGTAAAATGCAGTTCACAACTGGAGAATACTCGGTAATGTGTGTGTGTATGTCGAGGGCAATTATTGAAGGTGGAGGCTGCAAACGAATTTCAATATCACAGTAAGTTTGGTGAACGGTATAATAACTATGAATAATGTACTCTTGTTGACAGTATGGCATGAGTTTCCAATGGCATGGGTTTGTACACATTTCACGAGCCACTCCTTGTTTGGTGGAAACACGCCTTCATACGCGAGTACATGCTGTACTGGGGCAAACGTGATGTGTGTCACTGACAGAAATGATCGGACGCCGTAACTTTGCTGAGGCAGTTAACATTTTACAGGTCACGGGGCAGATATCGCCTGAGGGCACAGAAAGTGGAAACCAACGATCACCGTAGTCACGTGACTTTTGTGGTAGCGTCGCACCCTTGAAGAAGAGCTCCTTAGCTCAATGGTCTTTGCCAAGGAAAAACAATTCTGAACTTATGACAAAAATTAAAATCCTAGGAAAAATGTAACCCCTCCCCCCATCCTTGTATTCGGTGCTTCACTTAAATAACGGATTTATGCCTTTAATTGGCGTTACTTTTTCCAAATCTGCACCTCTGCAACTGTGACTTTGTCATCATCACGCTCTATTGAGCAAGATGACACGCACGGACAACGTAGGTGTGGGTCCGGAAAGCAAAGGATCTTGAGTCTCGTGCAATAATCGACGTGCCATTTAACGTGCCGCTTCCGGTGGAAGGACTGCATCTGAACCCGCTTCAACAATGTGGGGGTCAAGTAAGGTCAAACAACCCCCATGGCGACCGTGGCGTGGGGCAGCAACCACGTAGCCGTAAGTTTGGCAGAGGGCTTAACATTATGGTCATTATGATTATTTTGAAGGCGTATTTAATCTCATCAGCTACGATGATTTGGTTGTTAAGGTAAAGTATGTTGAACTTCTTTCGCACACCGTACGTAGCCAACCGTGCTAATCGGAGGTGCAAAGAGGTAGTAGTCGTGGTAGTAGTATTGAGATATAAAAAAAAATTATTTCATTTTTGAGATAAGTTCTTTGAGGTGTGGAGTTGCTTTTCTTTACAATTCACAATACCCACTTGCATCATGCAGGACTATTGGTTGAGACCTATTCAGGAGGCTAAGTTATACATGACGTTACTAACTCAGGGAGTTTTACAGAGTAGGCGTACGATGGCATTCATGTGCTTTGCTAAAATTAGTTGAACTATCATGAGTGGCTGTCGATATTCGCAAAATCGGCACTACAGAGACATTCTTTCGAGGAGACGTATTAGGTACCTTTTTGCTCCGAATGTATTCGACATTGTTCAAATGAAATAATAAAAAGACACGTCGCTAAAACGAAATTTGTTCTAAAGAAAAATTACAATGAAGTATACGAACATTAATGGAATAGCTGTATGTATGTATGACTTTATGATGACAATGTTCTCAACGACTCTCCGATGTGTTTTCGAGTTCGGGACATGCCGTTCGACTTGGTGTCCAACGCTTTTGCTCCACGTGCTGGAAGCTCCTTCAGGAACAAATCCCATCCCTTCGGGGAACAGTTCAGATTTTTCCCCAAGAATCTCCCAGCACCTCGAGCGAAACGCCCCGACGTCGTTCCGAACGGCACGCGGCGACCCGAACACACCGCCGAGTGCCACGGAGCGACCGTGGGAAACCACGCAGCAGCGTTACGTTCACTCTCGCACACGTGGCCGCTCGCCTTACACCCTGCAGACGGTGCTCACGTGGCTCGAGAAAGAGCTGCAGGGCAACAGCAGCGGCAGCAGCGGCACCTTTTGGGGTCTGGGCAGCACGGACGTCAGCAGCGTGCGAGTGGCGCTGCGTCAGGCCCGCCTCTGGCTGCCCCTGCTGCGTCAGTCGGCGCGGGTGTACGACTGGAGCAGGTCGGTCACCTCTCGCGTCGGTTGAGCGCACAAGTAAAGATCAGAATCGGTGTGTTTTTCTGTGTACTGCAGGAGGAATCCGATGAGTCACGGAGTCCCTTTTCACAAATGTCCAGTAGGAGGCCACGGGGTCAAAAAGTCATAACAACAAATAATACGAAAACACAATAGGAGTGCAAAGTATAGGAAAGATCAGTACATCGCGAATATAAATGTCTATTTTTATTTTATAAACAGAGCTCTTTGATTTGTTTTGGTTATCATGTGTCATGTCTATTTCCCAAGACTCTCTTTTGGAGTTATCCTGCGTGCAATGTTTTGTATTGCAGTCTTATTTTAAGTTATTTTGTTGTACCTTAATGCAGTTATTTACAAGATTATAGCTGATGCAAGTTTTTTTCAGTCAAACGTTTCAAGACCGTCTATTTGAAAGCTTTGACCCTGAAAGTTATTTATGGCATCTCGTTATTCCACATTCCATTCACGTCTTTTTTGCTGTAATGGCAGTCATGGAGAATGTAATATTTTGGAATGAACAACTGCAACTCAGCAAAATCTGAATGGTAGTTGATATCCACCAGAATTGCATACGTTTGGTACAATAACCCTTTGGCCAAATTGTAAAATAAATTCAATATTGACTTAAAGCTTTCGTGACTGCAGGAATATATATTCTATGGGTCTTTCGGTAAAGCCACGTAGATAGAACAAAATAAAATCACGACGTTTTGATCGCAACACAAGCAATCGTCTTCTCACCAAAAGACGATTGCTTGTGTTGCGATCGAAACGTCGTGATATGATATTTTTTTTCTCCCTACGTGGCTTTACCGAAAGACCCATAGAATAAAATAAATTAGTTTTCCTCTCATTCATACGAATTTTGTAATAGTAGTCACGTGTAAACAATCCCCTTAAAAAAATCATCATCTCCACCTATGATAATTCCATTCCTGGATGAAGGCTGCAGCCAAACATTTCACGGTAAGTAAAGTCACGTAGAAGGGAAATAATAAAATAATAAAAAATAAAACATAATAAAATAATTCTCACGACGTTTCGGCAACAACGCAAGCAGCCGTCCTCAGGTCAAGAACAGGGCTGTCGGGAAGACAGCGTCTGACAGACCTGTTCTTCACCTAAGGACAGCTGCTTGCGTTGTGGCCGAAACGTCGTGAGAATTATTTTATTATGTTTTATTTTTTATTATTTTATTATTTCCCTTCTACGTGACTTTACCGAAAGAACCAAGAAGATGAATCCCTGCAGTCACGAAAGCTTTAAATCGAAATCTCACGGTAGCTGCGGCCCCCTGCCTGGCGGCCAGGAAGGCGCAGTGGCCCCCGTTGTGGCCGTGACCTCCAGCATGCCATCCCACTCGGTCCACTCCGACTGTTCCCCCGCCAACGTCACAGACATCCGCAGCATCACGTGGCTCGTCAACCTCGACATGCGTGGATAGCCGTTGCCTATCCGCCGCCTGAGCTGCCATTGTGTAAGAGGAGGAAGCTGGTTGGCACCGGCGTGAAAATAACATAGGACGTTTTAACTTTACGTCCTAAGGTACTTTGTCTTGGGACTTCCGCAGAAGTAAGTTCTTGGGAGTACAAGTGACTTCTTTGACAATGCTATAGATACATGCGTGCGGTGCATCTCAAGAGAGGCTCTCTTCTCCAGTTCTCCTCGTGACCAGATTTGCAAGGCAGAGAGCATTCCAAATCAAGCATTGATTGACACACGCCAATCAAGTGATTTGCGTGAATTAACTTGTCGCTGCGTATCCAGCTTTAGAGTTTGGAGTTGGGCTATACTATTGCATCAGGGCTGTGGTTTTTGCTACCCAGCCACTGCAATCGTGCCCGATGATGAGAAGACGTGGACCGGCTGGGTCACGCCAAAGTCACCAGAGTGGGCATTGCGTGCAACTGCATTTCGTCGCACCCTGCTCATGAGTCGTGACTGTGCTGCTGCTGCTGTTGCTGTTGTTGTTGTTTTCTTACAGCGAGGGCTATGCCTGGGCGCTGGGCGTGGCAGAACAGGCGTTGGATGGCCTTCAGTTCGGCGCGGAGATTTCAAAGGTCCTGCAGGCTGTGCAAGCAGTCAGAGATGTGATTCTGCACGCAACCAAATTGAATACAGGTAAAATGTCACGTGACTGATCCGGTCTCGTTTCCACACTCTGTGGCTTCGTGCATTATTTCCCTACCCCCAGTAAGTAAACATTTGTTTTTTCGATAGTCTTTGTGGTAAGAACGTTCCTGTTCACTGATTTGAAATTGCATGCGTGAAACTACATATTATGGGCTAAATTTGCATATTGTATAAAGCTGTTTTCTATGGATATTTAGTAGAAAATCGCCAGCAATTTCAACCAAGCGTACAACATTCCAAGCGCACATTCCTCCGCACGTCGAAAAAAAATAAAGACGCTCGCCATTTCCGTGCAGTGTCATGATATGTGGGCACAATTAGACGCCGCGATATCAATCCAAATTGCGCTGTATGGTAATTTCACCGTGACAGTTGTGACGGTGCTTGCGTGTGTCCGTATTTAATGTAGCTCTCAGAGACATCGTCTTGTCTTCTGTATGAAGAAAGTCCACTGACAACTCAACGAGTAACCGCGAGTGACTCTGTACATTTGGGTAGTGAGACAACCCTATTCAGAGACAACGTAGATTCTAGTCTCGAGACAACTCGCAGATGATGGGGACGACCAGATCCACCGACGATTCCCCACACCAACAGCCCCCAGGTCCGGCTCGCGCCGGTTCTTATGCCTCGTCCGGTCCGACCACGCCCCCATTCTCGAACTTTCCTCGCCGCACCTGCCTCTGTCAATCTCCGCCCTGATTACACTTTCTCACCATTGGATCCCGTGCTCCCCCTCACGTGACCCTGTCAACGCTCGTCCCACCAATCATCATCGGCATGTCCATTAGTAACCATGGTCCCGGGGAACCATACTGTCCCTCTATCGCTCCGCACTGTCTTTACACGTGTGCACGTGTGTGTTTGTCTTTGTCCAGAGCTGCTTGTTCTGGTCAGGCAAGTGGTGACCGTCATCGCCGAAAACATCGACTTGATGGCCTCGGACGCCAACCGGCGGGTTGACCTCCTTGGGCAAATGATTGCCGACGTTGACGTCTTCGTCACTGAAGTGAAGCAGGTGAGACAAGGCGTGTCACTCGCCATGCTTTGGTCTTCTCTAAACACTTTACCTGTTTGTTCTGCAGGCCTACACGAGATCCCTCGATGAATTGTTTATTATTATCATGACCTCATTAGCATATCCAATTCACACGTGTTTGCGCACAACCAGAATATAGTTCTAATGATGTCATCATATATCAATATCAAACATATTGCTTGTGCTGATAGCTCGTGCAATACAGGTGTGTTTTACTCACCTGTAATGCATTGACATTAACTTCAAAGCGTTTAATCTGTGTGCAAGCTATCCACTCACAGCCAAGCGATTGGTCACATTTGTAATCCAGACATTTCAGTCATTAAGTTAATTCTACATTTGAATAAAGTGGCTGGCCATGGACTCTCCATAGAGTCATTGCTTTATGATCAAGGATAGAGGAATATCTGCGGCCACGCATTACCATTCACATTGACTGCTAAAACAACTCAAAGAAGCTCACCACGTTAACCATGAACACTGCATTTATAACTAGAGTCCTGCATGTTATCTGCTTTACTCGAGCACAAAGACACACACACACACGTGCCACAATTATATATGCCATGTTACATATCATATATGTAAATGGATGTTGTTGTATTTTGGGTAGTGGACTTTGGGGCATAGAGAGTGAGGGTTTAAATAAAGTTAACAAATTAACATTTTTGAACCGACATAAAATCACGTTTATATTCGTGAACATTTTCAAACCCTCATTAAGACACTAGAAGGCGGTTTGGCAGTAGCTGTCATATATAATGAGTGACTACAAATTGTAAATGTTGTGGATTTTATTCTCCAACACACCGGTGGGCTGAAGCAGTAAACTAATCGTCGCGTTGTTCACGTGACAAACCTCACTGGCTGTGTCGGGTGGTGGAGGGTTACGACACATTTATACTTACACGATCTAACCCAGGAACCTTTATGACGTACAATTATTATATATGTGTTTTTATTATTCCATGCTGTGTTCTCTTAATCAGATTTCAAAGTTAGTATGTATTCTTTTTGTAAGTTGCTCATATTTTAAGTGTTGGGCCAGGGTGTATTTCATCTATACACATGGCAAGCAAAGTGCACGGACACTAGCAGTAGCTATTGCACCACAGGCCAAGTGCACTTGGTGTCACAGGCTTGAGTATTCTCGTGCTTACTTGATAAGTGCAAACTAATCATGAGCGTCGTTGTGGAGTAGCACATGAAATAAGTAGACGATACGCCTCCTGCACATCCATATCTCTCCCGCGCCACATATACAACTCAAGTTTGTCTTTCTGCACATCCCTTCAGCCTTGGAGCCTTCTGACATGCGTGCCTCGGGTACTCTGGTATACAGGACAGGTTTATTGGGTCTGATTTGTCAATCCACCACGTAGACGTCATATTGTTGACAGGTAGCATTATCCCCGTGGCAATTTGAGCCAGGTACCCTGAGGTTAAATACTGATGATGTACAGAAGGATCTTATGACCACTTAAGTGTTCAGTGACATTAATTATCACCAAGACACATAACTCACAACGTGCTTCAATTTCAGCAGCAGCGGCAGGTACTTGTCATTAGAGCAGCCGTGTATTTTGATTCTCACAAAAAGAACAACCCTGTTTTGGAAGCCTTGAGTTGTTGCTATGGAGACCGGGAGACCGCTGATCGATGTGAGTCGTGATTTCTCGCTGAACGTGGAGACTGCTGCCATCTCGCTCTCCATTGGACGCCTGCACCAACCCTGCACCAACCCGTCGCGATCTTGTGGTTTTGCCCGCATCTGCAGAAACTGCAGCAAAATCGGTCGCTGAGTTGCATGGACCTGATGGTGCTGTGGGACATGCTGCCCGCGGACATCCTGACCGACCGCCAGACCGTGCTCTCTGCCGTGTGTCAAGCGAACACGAGCGGGTCCCTCGGCAACTTGACAGCGGCGCTCGGTCACTACGAGGCTCTGCAGCGGGCTGTACGTGCAACGCCAGCGACGTGCCACCAACTCCGCAGTTGTCACACACGCGCGCATTTATTATACTTTGTAAAAAGCTGCGCTAAGGCTCAAGCCTAATTGTCAAGGGCACCCCTGCTTGAAATACGAGTGCGGTGGCATTCACAACCGTGTAGCATTCTTCGACCATTGTTAAAGCACCTCCCTCCCCCCCATGATATACTGCTGGCAGCCCATGTCAACAACAACTGAACAGATTTGTCATGTAGAAGGAATTCTGACAATCTGTTTACGATCTGCAACCCATGTCATGGGGCTTTAAGTGCAGAGAAGGAATTTAAGTGCAGAGAAGTAATTCGCGTAACATGTTAGGGTATTTATTTTACCAAATACACTAATTTAAATCAAAATTAATTACAAGTCATAGGTTATCGTACAAATAATATGCAAATTTACATAATATAATATCGTATATTATAAACAAGACACCATGTGCATATATCATGCATTTTTATTGCAGTATATTGAGCTTAATTTGTACTTAGAAGCAATATACTATCAATTGTATTGTTCTGTATATATATCGAAACTATCATATATGCTCCTGCATTTTTCCCTGTACCTTTTACACCAGACATATCCCTGTCGCAAAAGAAACACGTCACCAGTAAATGCACAACACTTCGATAAAAGTGTTGAAGGTACACGCAACTTCGGACCTATTATCCGGCACTGATAAATATAATCCTTTGCCTGTCCGCGCGCGTCTCCCAGAGCACCACGCTGGCGATCCTGGTGAACGGGAGCCAAGTGGCACCCAGCGGACAGCCGCCAAGGGTCTCCGAGCTGTACGCAAACTGGCAGAGCGTGGTGGATGCTGCCGGAGAGAATGTGGACGCCCAGGCGAAATTCTACAGCTTCCTGCAGCAAGTGTTTGGTGTGATGCCATCACCACCCAGCAGCACGGCACTGCTGGACTCCTTTTTGGAACACCTACTCATCAACCTGTGAGTTATTTGAATGTATATGCCCATAAGAGATGTTTTGCAAAGAAGCCAGTGGGTTTTTTTCGTTATTGTACCTTCCCATCTGTTTAAATAGTGGAAAAAAAACATGTTCCATATACAACAGGTAGCAAGTAAGTAATGCAAAAGCTACAAAGTAAAACCACCCGTTATATTTTGACCTCGTATATGGTGATTATTACAATCATGATATATGGTGTTTATTAAGGGTATAATGATCCGTAAATGTGTAGTGACGTAAATGGTGTCACTCGGGTGTTCGCGTAGTGCAACTGTGCGTCTGGAGCCTCTCTCCAGCACCAGAGTAAGTGCGGCATGTCAGCCAGCCCCGGGGGGCATAGTCCCGGTGATGGCCTGAGAGAGAGGGGAGGTCGTGGTGGCCTGAGTGGGGCACGTGATGCTCGCTCACGATCCTTCGGGAAAGGTCTCGAAAGGGGCGTGGCCAAAGGCGGAGCGAGGCCACGCCCAGGAGCATCACGGGGCAGTCGCGAGAGAGCTCTTGGCTCACACTATGGGAACCTCATTTGCCAGTAAAAATATGATAATTAGTTTTTTACCATGGCAACAAAACTGACACCTTTTTACAAGGAATCATGTTTGCATAGACTGCAATACCTGCAGTCATAATACAATCATCAGAGTTATGTCTTTTGTTTGTATTATGACTGCAGGTATTGCGGTCTATGCAAACATGACTCCTTGTAAAAAGGTGTCAGTTTTGTTGACAGATAGAAGGGTAAAGAACCAATTATCAGTTCTTGGCTCGTCTGTGGAGTCAAGTCGGGGTCCCGCGTCTCGTCGTCTCTGGGTCTTCGTCTCGAAGTGAACTCGCTACTCACTTCGTGAGCCACATCGCCTGCTATAGAACCCGAGTTACGTTCAGTGTTACCCGCTAGGGAAGTTGTAAAAGTGTTGCCTCCCAGTCCAGAGTGTGTGCCTCCCTGTTGAACACTACAAATGCATTGATTAAAATGTATCCTTATGCTAACGATAATTGTATAGAATTGTGTGGTAATAATTGATGGTGGTATGTGTTGTTGTAGATCCTGTTCTTTCTGTTTAATCGGTTCAGATAGCCAACTTTTTAATATGAAAATAGTTATTTGGAAAATATTTTCCTCTTTAAAAGAAATGCATAAATGACAATAATACATCCTTATATATTCTTAGGTTTTTTCGGTAAAGTCACGTAGGTTAAAAATTGAAATTAAAATTAATAAAAGGAAAATAAAAGAAAAATACATTTGTATTTTTTTTATTTTTTTTATTTTACTTTTATTAATTTAAATTTTTTACCTTACGTGACTTTACCGAAAAAAACCTAAGAATATGAATCATTGCAGTCACGAAAGCTTCACATCCTTATATCACATCATAAATGTTCAGTAACATCGGGTAGAGGTTAAAAATATAGAGAAATGAAAAAGACAAGCACACAATGAGCAACATGCCAAAGGGATCATAATTTTAACGATAATTATACAATATTGGTGGTTTTATGTGTGATCCAAAACTTGCGTAAGAATATATCAGTCGAGAAAAAAAGTTGTGCGAGTAAAGACTGAACTGGGTTCATGGCCTAAAGGTGCACTTTAGGCAGCAATAACGTCGCTGCGTCTGTCAAACAGTGATGACTCATGCATTAGACTGGCAACGGAATTTCACGTGACAGGTTCAACACAATGATTCATTATTGACAACCCACGACTGCCCAACACATTCATATTCTAGTGGAACAAGCCGACTCGTACGCCGTACGAACGAAGGGGGGAGATTCTTGACAACAATCGTTCTGTTGCATTGGCACAAACGATCTGCCTTGTATGTGGCAGCTTTTTGCATTCGTTGAGCAATCACCATTTCCGCACGATTGATGCAATAAGACGCCTTATTGCCAAGTACCATGGGAAAGTTTCTCCGAGGGCCCTTAAGGTTTTATTGATATGCTGTGATTGGTCATAAAGGTTCTTTGAAAAATACACGTGTAATATATTTATGAAACCAATCACGTGCATTGCCACATGTCTACTGTCACATCGGTAGGTCCCTTTCGTATCAGATATACGATAAACACACCAAGAACTACAAGTGTGACTGAAATTGTAATTCATACATTATTTATTGTATCCTATACTTTATTCATCATCCAAGTCACAACCTCGCATGATCTTAGATCTAATAATAATTAATCCAGCACCTGCACATGGGCTGATTTCATCGCTCCATCTCCTCGGTGGATGTCCTCTCGAATGTGCCCCGTAATGGCTCTTGACCATCAGGCACCACCTCTTCTTCTGGGCCTGCCCAAGCCCACAGTTTGATGTCATTCACCTGCATCTGTTCTTTTTTCTGTCTCTCAGTGTAATTCCAAGAATGCATGTCTCCACGCTTCTATGCACACTTTTACGTTTTTGTCATCGTGACCATGTTTCTGTACCGTATGTTATGGCAGGTAGTACACACAAATTTAACAAACAAAAACCTTGTTGAATTGTTGAAGCATATTGGTATTTTACCTTCAAGTATAAAGTTCATATTTCCTAAAGAACTCCGACCTGTTCTCATCCTCTTCTTTGTTTCATTACTTTGATTCTGGTCGACCTTTAATAGCTCTCACCCAGATATACAAATTGTGCTGTGTATACAATTGTGTTCCCCCACACAGATATATGCAATCGTTTAGCAAACTTGTTGTCCATGATGTTTGTTTTGTTCATATTTATCCTGAACCCAACTTTCTACGCATCTTTATTTATTAAGTTCTTATAATTCACCAACTCCTAGAAAAAGCAACTGAATGGCTAAATCACTTATAACTGAATTCATTGTCCACGTGAAATCATCATGATAGTCAACCACATTAGAAACCCGGATTTAGTAAAGGTTATTCCACCATTTATAACATACACACCGTCAAAAAATGTATAGGAAAGATACATTTACGTGAAATACCATTATGCCAAGCTTTTATCGACCATGTTTAGGCATTTGATTAAGTGGAAATAGAAGCAGTCTCCCACGCTGACATGGAAGGATGAAATAATATTTAAGTTGAATGCTTAAAGCCGAGGAGGAAAACTATCGTTGTTGGGAGGCAAGAAAGTGGGGTGAATGACAGAGGGACGATGGGAGATGAAGAGAGAGACAATTAGAGTGCAGCACTTGAGTCAATACGTGCAAATAAACCACGCAACCCAAGGTCATGGCACTTAGGACAACCGTAGTTAGCAGTTTTATTGTAATGTTATTGCCATTTTCTACACCACAATTTGAACTGTGTGCCTGCGATAAAGTCGCTATGTTACTGCACACATCTCGAGAATGACATTTGTAAATTGACTCCACAGCAATGGAAAGTCTTTTATAAGATGCTGAGATGCCCTCAGCATCTTATAAAATTACAATGAACTTTTCCAACAGTAAAGTCTTTTAATTTTGGATAATAAATGAAATGCTCTTGAATAATATGATATGCGGCATTCTTTGGAGTGCAGGAGAACGCTACAGAAAGCAACCTTCCACAAATTGCGTCTGCTCGCTTGCTGAATGCGCATTTCAAATACAATGGATGTGCGTGTAAAGTGTTTTATGAAAGCTGCATGGATGGCACATGGGAATGTGACCCCATGGGCAGGTCAGTGAGGGGTGTTCCTCCTTTCAGTAACTTGGGTTTATTATAGTAAGCAAGTCGCCATATTTGTTACAATGATTCTACAATGGGCCCCATGTCAAGGATTAATAGGCCACTTGAAGGATTTTTCAGGAAAAAGTCGCGTGACAAATCTCTGCCAATCTCTGACACGGGGCAGACTCGAGTGTGAGATTACCAACATTATTCTGTCTCGTGACTTAATGCCAAAAGCACATTCAGTTGCGATATACCAGAAAGATTTTAAAGAAATGCGAACAGCATGCGCCCGTAAAAATGTGCAACTGAATGCTGGTGGTGCCCATGGACATCAGACTGCATCTAACAGCCCCAAGATGGGCCGTTTCAACACGCTCATATATCGTGGAAATATAAATCGCAATAAACCATAACCGTCAGGCTTTAAAAAACAGTAGATTTCAACAATTTTACACTCGTTACTTGCACAGTTGGTAGGAGTAGTGGGAGTCGCTTTCTGTAGCTGGTATTGTAAACATTGGGGATGATGACGTTGTGTTTTGGGACCGAACTTGCAAACCAGAGGACGCCGGTTTAATTTGGACTCCTGACATGGCAAGTGAAACAATGGTGTAAGTTTGTTTGAATCCACTAGCCTCGCACTCCACAGCAGCATACTGCGGAGGGGTATACCGCAGTGGTGGGGTAAAGTGTGGGTACTTGCACTGGCATGCACAAGTTATTGCAGGGCTGCACCTTTACCATGTAGGCCGTGGAGACGTGGAGCACCTTTAAGTTACTGAGTGTATGAGTAAATGAAATAGATGGAAATCAATTTTCATATGAATGCCACAATTATCTGGTAATGGAGTCGTTTATTTATCAGTGGTGATGAAAAATTTGTTGTGAACGAGTTGGCATTTGCAGTTCAATGAATAATTTTGTCTTGAAAACTTTGTATAAAAGCTCATGTACTTTTGGATGTCTAACAATATATATATAGCGCAGCAACTCGCTTCCTGACTGACGAATTGAATTACATCACGTACTGAAAGATTATCATGGATTTCACTCTGTATGTTTAATTTTTTTATTAAATCTACAACATTGCTTCCCGTCGTACCTCTCGATTGTCTGCAGGATGTTGGACGTCACCGATGTTGTGGGCATGACGGTGCAGCAGACACTGGGATGGCCCAGCATGGACCAGCTTGTCAATGGCTTGCATTGGATCATCTCCACAATAAACCAGCAAAATACCACCAGCTTTACGAGCAAATGCGAAGGCAAGCGTTATAATGTGTTATTAATGTTTCGAAAAATATATCTGTATATGTATGGGCTACTGCCGTGGTGCGATGGTTGGCAGTTCGGTTTCCCAGCGCTGCAGTTTAAATAATGGAGCACGTTTTGTAATGTCTTGCCCTCTGTCCACCCTGCAGTGGGAATTGTTTCACCACAGTTAGTCGATCTTCAGGTCGATTGTGGTGGAGTAAGCATGGGTACTTTCAACTCTGTCAAGGCATCTGGCCAGTATGGAAGAGGTCAACATTCCCTTCATCGAGAAGCAGCTTTTCCTGCTGATTTCCCCATGCTGATCTGGCTTTTAATTTCCCCACGAATGCTGAGTCATTATTCTGAATAACCCCAGGTTATTATTTTTTGCAGCCGCCAATACTACAAACTGTGATACTATAATATCGCAGAAGATGCACATTATAAGCAACAAAACATTGTTTCATAACACATTTCCGCAGGGCACGCCCAGAGAATTGCCGACATGCTACATGTTAGTTATGGCTTTAACCTCTGCAGAGCTGTGTCTTAGCTGTGTTACATTTGACGTATTCCCAATTTTACAAAGTTAATGAATGCCTGTGCTTATAATGGAGAGCTGTATTTGTTCCGTAACATGCAATGTGCTAAAATGTTCGTGAAATGAATTGGAATCCTGGCCTGTCTGCTTGCACTTGGGTATAGCAGGAGAGCTGGGAGATTTCTGCAGGAATCTTGATCGTTAATAGCATTGCATATGTAATGGCATAGGGAAACTATCGTGCCCACACAGGTTAATAAGGCTATGTGTTACATATAATAAAACAACTAACAGGCTCTAGCACTGTATACATTGTATCACATTGAATAAATATCACACAAATGACTAAAGTCACTTATGGAAAAGCAACAAAAAATGCGATGCGCCGCAATTCATAAGAAGTGTGAACGCATTTTGACGCGATGCGGGTGATGTGGTGGTCGCTGCGTACGTGTTGTATAAATGTGCCGGAATCAAAATGCGGCCGTCTGTTTATTGCCCAACAGATATTTTCTCCGTCCCAAATGTAACGCTGTGGGCGAACGCTCCCGTGCCGTGGAGGGGCCTCATCAGCGAGATGATCGTGTTCAAAAACAACGCCATGACCAACGACGAGCTCATACCAAGGTACACGCTCAACGTCACTCACTCGTCTTGCCAATATTACAATCGCGCAATTGTTGTGACGAAAGACGCAATTCAACAGCCAGAAAAAAATGTGACAAAAAATGTACCCGTGCCTTTTAGGCTGGAATAAATGTCACTTGTGTCGGCGGGGTGCTGATTATATTTTACTTGTTGGTACCACCTGAAGTGGCACAACTTTCACGGTTCCAATTTCTGTACGCGGCCAATAACAGCGGTATCACGTGATAATAATTTGAAGTGAGTGGGTTATCATAGCATGCAATCTTAAAATGACAGTTTTGCCACTTCAGGTGGTACCAATTTCTGCTTTGGCCCATGGACGAGGCTTGAACTGGCCACCAGATGCCTGGTCCTTCTGCCTTGTCCTGGCTTCCTATGTGATAATACTGTGACGTGGAACATCAAATCACACTACATTCACTTGCTGCGAATTAAAGCAAAAGTGCTAGAATGTGTGTACACTGTGCAACAATCGCATCACATACTGTAATGCAACATTGTAACGAAACATCTTAAACTATACGTTCTCTTTCAGAGCACTCCACGCATCTATGGACCTCTTAAATCAATTGAACATCGTCAATGTTGACCGCGACGCTCTGAACACCATGTTCTGCTCAGACAAGAACCTAAGTAGCCTCATTGCCAGTTTTCAACAATCCAATTCAACCACCTCGGCTACAGCAAACCTCATTCAGGGCATTTTACACGACAAAAGTGTGACGCACGCAATTGCCTTGTTGTACAATAACATTCGGCTGTGGTCGCAGAATTCTCCCCCAGTAGATCGCCAACTTTACGATGATGTCTCTGCTATTCTTAACAGGATCAATGTCACTAAAGAGTTAGATATTTTAAATCACGTAATTGAGGTTGCGAACACAACCGGCATTGACAATGCTATTTTACCACTCGTGTACGGTGTCCTCACAGAGATCCAGGCCTCAGGATTGCTTGACAATCAAACTGCAGATATCCTTAACACTGTTCAGACTTTTCTCAAAGTTAACAATTCTGAGCAGCTTCTTGCTGAGATCAAACAGCTTCTCTCTTGGGTGCCACAAGACAGTGCTCAAAATAGCAGCCGACGAGTAATGGAGTTCCTGATGAATGTGTTTGAAAACATAATAGTGCCTGTATTACCTGCACATGATTGGGCCACTATTCTTCAACCAGAAATATCCCAACAGTTGATGATGAACTTCATGAACCCCAAAGTTGTAGCAAGGATTTTATCAGAAATTCAATCATCACATCTTGTAGATAGGCAAGTTACAGAAAACCTAAATATTGCTCAAACATTCCTCATGATGAACAGCACCCAGCAAATCCTATCACATGTGATGGTCCTGTTACATCAAGCTCAACCAGATGAAGTGCGTGATTTGTCTATCAAAATCGTGCGTGTCCTGTTTAAATTATACCAGGAACAAATTATACCAGCATTTCCTGAAAATGACTGGATAGGTATTTTCCAACCGGACACATTTCAAAAGCTGATTTTGCAACTCATGTCCCCAAAAGTTCTTGCTGACACACTTGCCGAGATTGAATCCTCAGATTTTCTTGATGCACAGACTGCAGAAATAATCCGTATCGCACAAACGTTCCTGAATTTGAACAACAGCCAGCAACTTTTTTCACAGCTAAATTACGTGCTTTCTCATGGTCAGCCAGATACATATGGAAACTTGACCGTAAGTGTCTTACATGTCCTGTACAACATTTATCAGAAACACATCATTCCACAATTTCCAGTAGACGATTGGACAGCTCTTTTTGTCCCAGGACATTTTGAGAAGCTGATTTCGACTCTCCTATCTCCAGGTGTTTTTGCTGAAATAATGTCTGAGATTGAAAATGCAGGGCTCCTCAATCCAGACGTGACAGGAATGCTCCACACGTTGCAAGGCCTGATAACAGCAAATACCACCCAAGATCTTTTTACACATCTGAGGCTTCTGTTGGATCAGTGGCAACCTACGTACCCTAATGAAAGCGATCCTGTCAGTTTTTCTATTGGCATGCTAAAAGTCTTGCTGAGCGTCGCTGAGATGACTGATCAACCAGACACTGTTGATGTCAAGTGGATGTCTGTCATAGAGTATTCACTAAAACAGATCACACGATCAAATTTTATACCTCCAGGTGCAACAGATGCGATTGTCACATTCATAAAGGTGCTTACATTTGTTTTTGAACCAAATTACTTTAATTTGAATAACACAAACAACACAATGCATAGTCTTGTAAATGGGTTGAGCAGTGAAATCAGTGCCTACTTGCAAAGTTTCCCTGACCTAAGAGAATTCATGCCATTCATAATGAAGGCTTCGAATACAGCAGCAAAATTGTTGGATAATGCTACATCTGAAGAAGCCATTAGTACATCACTCGAGGCCATTATTTCATTGGTGCACAACTTAAGACACATCGTGACAAAATCCAATCCGTTAATGCCAACATCCGCAAGTGTCTGTGAAAACAACTTAACCGAGCTTGGAATGTTTGTGGCTGAACAATTGAGTAATCTGATGCCAGACAAGATATCTGAAGAATTCAAAAACATGACGTCCCTAATTCTCCACTACACAGATGCTCTGCAAGCTTTCATACAGAACAGAGATATGCCTATGGATTTTTTCATATCGTTTTACAAGGAAAATTACCAGCTCATAAAACAACTATCAGACTTTCTAAAAAAAACAGACAATGACACACTGCAGGCACTCAAATCCGATGCAAGCAAAGTAAAACTCATGGTGTCTGAGGCAAGGATGTCTAACGAGAGTCTGAACACTTTCTTAGAACTATCAGCACAATTACTGATGGAAATTGGCTACATTTTAAATACATCTGAACATTTCCAATCAATCCCTTCATTTTCAAGCTTGCTTTTTCTGGTAGATATGGTGACTGCTGAAAACAGCACACCAGATGCTCTGTTCACCAACAACTCAGACATTACAATAAGAGATATTGGCATATTTCTGGAAATCGCAAACAGTAGCACACTTCTTGACGTTCTGCAGAATATTGAAAGCCTTCTCCATCATTTGCAGGATCTTCAGGCTTCATTGCACAATGATTCGTTACTGTTGACTCTGAGGTCTATATCAGGGATAATGGACCAGTGTGGAGTGTTTCTAGAGCATCTGCACATTGACCCAGCAGCAAAGGAGGTTTTTCACATACTCAACTCCCTATCAGACATTTGGATTCAAGATCTCTCTGTGGTTGATTATGGCAGTGCGCATACCCAGCTTAACGTATTTAAAGCATTCATCGTGTATGTGGTGGCTAACATGGACACATTGATTCCAATTGAGAATGAAGTCAGAGCAGTTCAGTCTCTGCTTCGCTCAATAGGGCCTTTAATGGAGTCGGTTTCAGAGGCCAATGCAGATGGTACACCCCTTTATGACAAGCTGAACATAGTTTTCCATCTAATTACCAACATGACAGACATATCGACTTACACTTTGGAAGACTTTTGGAGAACTTTTGGCTCACGTGGAATTACTGCAGTTGACATATTGGAAATTCAAGCTATCATGATGACAATTGGGATGTATGTTGAAAACATCTACAACGTCATCGTTGAGCCAGCAATGCATCAATTTGAAATACTAGTTACTGCCGCTCGACTGACAGAATTGCTGCTGCAAATGAACCATGGATCCAACGCATCACTTCCCATCAACAGACAAACTCATGAAATAATGGCAATCATAATGTACCCAAGGAATCTTCAGAATATCTCCGTGATTTTTCAGTTTTTGAAGATCATTGTCGGAGATATATTACCTGAAAACGGACTGTTGTCTCTGCAGCAAACGGGAGCAATACTTAACTTGCTGCACAGTGCTGAAACCATGATAGCCATTCAGGATGTAGACAAGCTGGTTTATTGGCTCCAGAATTCAACGTTCTATTTTGCAGACTTCCTTTCACAGGTGGTAACATTGAACGACACACAGACTCTGTCCAGTTTGACCTCTGCACTCAGCATCATGGGTCACTTCCTGCAGTTGCAAAGTCAGCTTGATACTTTCGTTTCCTATAACATCTCCACATCATTCACTGAAGAACTTGGCTCCATTTTTGAATTTCATGGACTTAATAACCTGACAGATATTCTAATGAAAGCCATAGAAGGAATTCAGCTCATTCATCAACTTTCTTCTCGCGATGTGTTTGGCATGGCTGAGATACAGAGCATTTTCAGCTATTCACAATCCACTCTAACATTTTTCACTGATCCACTTGTTGAGGAAAAGTCCATTCATCTTGGAAGTAAAGTTGTCCGACTGGTCGGTATGTTTATGATCGAACAAAACTACTCGGTACCAAATATGGTGGACACTCAGTGTACAGTTCTGGCTATTATTGACCAAATCTTATCAACAAATCTGAAAATGGTGCCAACAGCAATGGGTTTATTAAATACAGCTAAATGCAATGTATCAGAAGAAGAACTCAATGCTGACTGTTCACTTCCATCGCGCAACATTGTGTACTGTGCTGCTACCCTTGCAGCAGAAATTGTGACGGACT